ATTAATGAACAGGGCAATATCTATGATCATATATCCATCTTGTAAACCATAAAGTCAAACATGGTGTGTTCTTATAATTTTTGAATTTAAATATATCAAATATCTAATAAACATCACATTTATTTTGGCTGCATCCATCCATCCATCCATCATCATGCATATATATATACATGCATGCATGTAATGAGTGATCATTAAATGAAAAATCTAGTGGAGAGAGTTTATTAAGATTCAAGACAAAAGGTAAAGTTCAAAAGAACAATATACAAATGAACTTCTTCATTACCAATACTGACGTACATGGTACAATGGATATATTATAAATGATAACCAAGTTCCAATCAAACAGTGGCTAATTTATTTATTAGGTGCTAAATCATGTGATGAATGAATTAATTAATCCATGTACGTTTATAGAAGGTTTGGTAGCATATGTTTAATTAAATTTTATTTGTATATAGCATATACTCCATTTAAACCCAACCCCTCTTTTTTTATTTCCACGAACTGCCAAAAAAGGTGACTCATTTATGAATTATTTAATACGATAAATTATATTTACAGTTACAGCCATTCAAAGCTTTGAATAAATAATGCTTTAGTTGCAGCATGGTCAATATTTTAATACACATAAAGACTACAACCCCAAATCACCTTATTTTAATTTAATTATATTATATTACTTCCCTGCTTTTAATTTTAAAGTTATTTTAAAACATTTAAAAGTGGAAAAAAAGTAAGTTAGAGTATTTTAAAAATGTTAATTATTTAATTGCCCTGTTCTAAAAGATTCATATCACGATTTATAAAATATAATTATAACTTTCTGAAATTTATCAAATTGCTAGGTTCCTAGAACATTTTTTCGTCAAATCCAATTCACGTGATTTAATTTTCTTTTTTTCTTTTTTTGAATTAGCCCATGTTTCATAAAGTTTTACCATAATTAATTTCAAATTGGTACTCAATGTACTTTCCCATCTTTCCCATATATTTATTATCTTTTTTTTGTCTGAAATTATTTATGCTGTTGAAGAACTGTGTGATTCTGTGACCATTTGACCTTTTAAAAATCCGAAGTCTAATCTTCTACATTCTTTCAACTTTTCATTTCACCAATTAACTTTGAGCCACAAAGTGGAAGCATTAACAGAAATTTCCAATATTTTCTCTCAAATTTTTTTATTTATTAAAATTATGCGCATATCATGTACCTAGAAAAAGGGAAATTAAAGTGATAAAAAGAAGCCCACAATCTCCACTCCTTTAAATCATTGGGGCCATAAAGCAAGGCGTCACATCCTTTTTTTTTTTTTTTAGCAAAATGCGTCACATCTTATTTAAGTCAAAAGGGCCAAAAAAAAAATACAATAAAACTAAAAAAATATCTTTCTTTTTTATTTTAACACATATTACAAGAGTATACAAAAATGAGAGAGACAGTTAGAATACAGGGTAAGAGCGCAAATTTGTTCATGAATGCTTGCAATTTTAAACTTATTTTTTATATAATATTTTTTAAATTTTAAAAATTATGTAAATTAACTTATATCATTAATAAAAATTAACTTTGATTATTAGTTGAAGAGAAGGTAAAAAAAAAAGGCTTTAAAATTATAAAAAGCCAAAAATTATTGTAAAAGATTGAAAAATTACATATAATGATCCAAAAAATTATACATAAAGATCAAGAGAATTTTATTAATCATTTTTTATAATTTTCGATATCATTTTTCATTTTTTTCTGATTAACCAACTATTAAAGTCAATCTTTATTAGTAATAGAGGCTAAATTTCATCGTTTTAAAACATTAATGGAGAACATTATATCAAAAATAAATTTAGAGTTTGAGACATTCTTAAACTTATAATTTAGGAATCAATTTGTTCATTTACCTTAGAAAATATCTTCCAATTAAAAAAAAGATATTTGTGCAAATGAATTAAAATTTAAAATAAATAATAATAAGTTATTTTAATTTTAGATATTGTAGAAAAAATGATAATATACAAAAGAAAAATGAAATTGTTTTTGTATTGATAAACAGAAATAATGTTACACAATAACAGGCTAGCAGCACAAATAATAAAATATTATATATCTCAAATTTTTGTTAGTTAAGAATTTAAAAGATTGTGACAATCACCTATTTTAGCTCTCGGACAAAGGGTGCGCTCTGACAATTATGCATGTTTCCAGCCACAATCTATTCAGCTTGCTAATTAATTAATTACCCATCATTCAGCACAAAATTATGGTAAAAAATTAGTACACCAAGTTGCTGAACACAATCATGCCTTTGCACAACATAAAAATTACTATACACACGCTATAATTTCTATTGCTCACAAATATTTTCGACAATTCTATTCAAGATACAGTAAGGGATTAAATATAAGTAACTCTTTTAATAGGAACTCAAACTTTAGTTCACCATATTACAAGAGATTAGCCTCTCTTGTTTGACCCAAATCTTGCTGATACACACACTGTAATTAATTATTAATTACTTTATTTATTATACACATATTTATGTTCACATGCAAAATTACAAATGCAAAAATTAGAAACATTACCTGTGCACTAGATTACAATATTCAATTTTTTAAACTATGTGACTAAAAATTATGCATGATCAAGTTTTTTTTTAATAAAGAATCCATGAATAATGAGCAAATATTAACAGATAATATCTATACATTAGTTGAGTGGAGTGGAGGATATTTACTTTTCTATAAGCAAAGTCAATGGTTTAAAGCTCATAGATAAAAAAAAAAAAAAGTTGAAAGAGACACTGTCAATTAGGCATGATAATGCATGAATCTAACAATCAAGTACTGAGTATCGGATAATTATATTTTCTAACTAGTTTTTTTATTTTTCAATGTATCTCCATAATTAATAGCTATGAGATTATTCTCTTCGGAAATTTAAAAATCATTTAAAGGGTTATTCTTTTTTAATAAATGCTCTCTATACATATCTCTATGAGTTAAACTTTAAAATAATATTTAAAGGACTCAAACTGTTATTGTTAGTATCACGTATACTTAATTTTTTTAACTATTTTTGATAAAATTCTTCTATATTTTATTTGTTTATAAAGCTAGAGAATTGAATCCCAAACTTGTTGCACAAAGGTGACAGGTCACTATTCATGTTGATGTAATTTGATTTCATATCGATAATGTATATATTATTTGATAAATCTGACTAGTTATTTATAATATTAATGTGCTTTTTTTTTTTGTGGTTGGACCTTTTAGTGTATAAGATGGAGCTTTTGGAGAGGAAAATATTCTTCCACCCAAAATTATTAAAGCATGTCACAAATTGCAAAAAGGACTCTTTGCTAACACCTTTAACAAAAAGTGCATTTTCATAATTCAAAATCAAACTGAATCTAGACGCAGGATTATATTTTTGTGCTTATAGCCAACAAATATACAAAAAAGTTCACATATCTTTTTATCTTTCAAAGATAAGAAGGGGCTCATCATCCGTTTGTTTTTTAATGTGTAAATGCTGCTATATCAATCGTCCACTCCTTTGATTCGTTAAAAAAAAAACAATATTTACGTCACCATCTTTAAATATATATGTATATATACATAGCTTATATATACAAATTATACATCAATTCAGGATAATTAACATTAATCAAGTGAGCTGATTTGTCTTAGTTGCAACTTAAATATTAAGTAATTAGGTAATAAATAATAGTACAATTACAACTCTGCAATATTTAAAGACGCTTATAAGTTTTAAGGGTAAGACACTTTTTATTAAATACTCTATTATATTAAAAAATATAAAATATTTTAAACTTTTTAATGTGTAATTAATAATTTTTTCCCCACAAAGTCCCTAAATTGGGGGTGTAATTAATAGAGTTTTTAATTGAGATAACTTATTAAATAATGACAATGATAATGATAACGATAAATATGCAAATAGTTTGCAATTTTAAATACCATTAATAAACTTCCTGATGATGCAAATTAGTTAAAAGTGCCATATAATTTTAATTGAATGGGTATATATTTTTCATATAGATGATAAACCAAAAATAATTTTTTCAAGTCATTAGTAAAATTTTAATAAATATTTCTAGTTTCAAATGTCATTGTGTTTGTATAATTTATAAAATTTTTTTCATAAAATTTTAAAGATATAAATGCATAAATCTAATTTCACCAAGGATGAACCGTTTGAATTGAGACTTATAATATAACTGAACTGAAAGTTGGTGCAAGGGAAAGGATCACAAAATTTTATTTTAGTAACATAGTAAATTGCTGAGACCTTTTTACCACTTTTAAAGAACTAAGGAAGATCCTCGTTTCGTGCCACGTGGAGGCAAGAGCATCTATCTCACGCTTCCCTTGTTTTGCAGCTACACTCAGCCGCACAGCACTTAAAGCTTAATTAATTGATTAAATTAAATTAATCTCATCATCATCAGCTTTTTTGCATTTAATTAATGTAATTCTCCAATAATACAAAAGGACAACTCTGTCATGTTCCATAATCTACAGATTCTCCTGGTCACATGCTTAATTTCAAGGGCGTTATAGTCTTTTCGGTCCACTTCTCTTTTGGCAAAATCTCACTAGCCCGTTTGGACACCACCATACTACTTATTATCATTATCATTTCTCTTGCAATTAATCGAAATTTGTCGATTTCAAAATTATTGATTAATTCTGATTTTGTTTTTTTCCTTTGTATTTTTGGCCGATATCAATTAATTTTGATTTAAATATTATCTCGAGCTCAAAATCAAATATATATTTCTTCGACGTATCTTTGTCTTATTTGAAAATTATCAATTTTATTGTTTGTCGATTTAAAATGTAATTAGGAATTAATAAAATAATAAAAATTGAGGAGAAATATTGTTGGGAATTGTTTCGGCAGTGTTTGGCGCGTATATAAATAAATAAACAAAGAAAGTCGAGGACCAATAAAAGAGGCTTCTCACCTTAAACAAAAAAGAAGCTTGGCTCGAAGTAAATCGTAGGAAGAGGGAAGATGAAAATAAAGAAACAAATAAAAGGCATGGGACTGCAGGGGGGAGAGAGAGTGAGTGAGAGAAACTAGAGGGGAGTGACGAAACTTGAAACAGAGACGCAGTCTCTGTGTGCGTATGTGTGTGTGAAAGGGTGCGTGTGTGTGTGGGTGCGTGTGGGAGAGAGGAGGGGAGAGAGAGGGTCGAAACCCCAGATGCTCTAACCCATTTTTCTCTCTCTACTTTCTTGGTCTGAAACACTGCAATCTATCTGATCGGAGACTCTCATTCTCGCAGTTCGACGTTCCGAGACTCTCAGGTTCCTGTGTAATTAGCTCCCTTTCTGGTTGGTATAGTGCGTGTGGTCCGTACAATGGAGCGGTACGGCCGGACCAGTGAAGGGTCGCAGTCTGATCCGTCACCGGAATGGACCGGAACGGGAGGGGAAACAGGGCTCGAAGGTGAGTCTATCTGTCGCTGCATTCCAAATTCCGTCCTCTTTTTGGCGAAATTTTGGGTATTGCTTTTGCGATTTGTGGTTTTTGTGGAATGTGGCGCGTTATGAACTGGGTTTGATCTTGATTTTGCAAATGCAGAGGCTGTGTGGCAATTCGAATTGGGTGGCGGTGAATCGTACCCGCAACGGCCCGATGAGGCCGATTGTATCTACTATTTGAGGACTGGTTTTTGTGGGTACGGCTCGCGATGTCGGTTCAATCATCCTCGAGACCGTGGCGCGGTAAATTTGTTGCAGTTAATTATTTGCGGGCTTTTTTAAAGGGCTTTGTTTGGTTCCTGATGGTTGATATGACCGTTCGCTTTTTTGAGTTCAATTTGGTTTGATCCTGTCTTTGGGCCCTGGGCTATGTGTTAGGTTTGAGCTTGCATTTGAGGGGTTGCCATCAAGTGTTGTTAGGATATTGATTATTAATTGCATTAACTTATCTGAGATCAGTATGTTTGCGTTTGATATTCTGATCGAGTGTTTCTTAATTTGGAGATATACATATGAGTTGATTAGGTTATTGGAGCTGCAAGGACAGGAGGGGAGTTCCCAGAACGAGTAGGCCAGCCTGTATGCCAGGTGCTTTTTTTTTTTTTCCAAGGAGAATACAATAATTATTGCCTTTCACATTCTTATTTCTTGCTGGCAATTGGTTCAACATTCAGGCATATTTATGTCAAAGATGGAAGGAATTTTACGCTGAATTTTGTTTTCATTATAGTGTTGATGACTTTCCTCTTCCATTGATTTTGTGCTCTGATATAAACTGCAGTATTATATGAGGACAGGATCATGCAAATTTGGCTCATCCTGCAAGTATCACCATCCAAGGCAGGGAGGGGGCACTTTTAGTCCTGTGTCACTAAATTATTATGGATATCCATTGCGACCGGTCTGTATTGCTTTTCATTTACTGCATAAGCTTATGTCTTTTCTTGAATGTCGGGATCACATTTTCTAATAACACAGAGAGTTTGTTCCAAACTTGAATTTTTATAAATAACAGGGTGAGAAAGAGTGTTCATATTATGTGAAAACGGGACAATGCAAGTTTGGCAGAACTTGTAAATTCCACCATCCGCAGCCTGCTGGCATGCAAATTCCAGCACAAACACCAGTTCCCCCGGTTTCACCTCTACCTGTACCGGTACCTTCTCCATTATATCCAACTGTACAGCCATCATCTGGCCCTTCATCATCACAATATGGTGTAATGGTTGCAACCCCAAGGCCACCTCTGTTACCTGGCTCTTTAGTCCATAGTCCCTATGGGCAGCTGGTTTTGTCCCCGGCTGTAGTCCCTTTTCCAGGTTGGAGTCCTTATCAGGTAGGGCAAACTTATTATTTGATTATTTATTCAAGTTATTCTTGCATTTGTTGAAGCCGTTGATCACTTGGTGCAGCCTCCTGCAAGCCCCTTATTTCCTTCAAGTAATCCATCTAACATTGGTTCAGCGCAGCTTTATGGGATGGGTCAGCTACCTCCATCAGCATCATCTTATAGTGGACAGTATCAACCTCCAGGCTCCTCAGTCGGTCCTTCAGGCAGTAGTCAGAAGGAGCAATCATTTCCAGAAAGACCTGGTCAGCCGGAATGTCAGTATTATATGAAAACGGGGGAGTGTAAATTTGGTCCATCCTGTAGATATCATCATCCACCTGAATTAGTTGCTCCAAAAACAAATGTGGTCCTTAGTCCTGTGGGCCTTCCTTTGCGCCCGGTAATCATCATTCTCAACTTGTTTTTATGTCCATGCCTTAGTAATGATTATGAACGTTCCATTTGTTTTGCTAAAACTTTAGTATTAGCCAGTCATTGAGAATTTGAAGCTTTACTGGCCGGAATTCCATTTTATGTTTGATAGCATCAATGAAAACAAATTTTATGAGAGGGAAAACAAATTTTATGTTTGAAGCTTTCCATTTCTTGTCTTTTTGCAGTAAATGTGTATATAATTGTGCCTTTTTTGGTCTCTTTTCTTAAAGTGTATTCACTGTATTGTCATGTGGGAAAATACTGTAAGTAAACACTTTTTCCCGAAATTTTTCTATGTGGACTTGTTCTCTTCCAGGACAATGAACTATGAAATGTTGGAACTTCTGCAATGCTTCCCTGACTAGTTTCTTTTGGACCGGGCAATATGGGGGAGGAGATCCTTTACATTTCCGGCACAGTTTCCTGTCAATTTGAAGAGAACTATAAAGGGGATTGGATACCCTAAATTTCCTTTTAAAATTTTCTGTAGAGTTTTTTTTTATTTTTTTTGGGGCCTGCTCATCTTTTCTCTCTTTATCTTCGTCCAACTCTGCAGGGAATTTACAAGAAAAATAGAGGATCCAATGGAGATAGGGTATGAATGGGTCCCATACATTTTCCATATTTATAAGTTGGAAAAGGAGAGGATCTCCTTGGGAATATCTACATTTAATGCTTTGAAATTGTCAAGATCAAGGGATATTTTTTAGTGTTCAATTTGATCATCTTTTGTTTGAAAAAATCCTGCATAATCTAGCTGGACTTGCCCCCCTCTGCTGATGAGTCTTCGTGTTCTATGTTTTATTCTGATATGCTTATTATATGCATCTTTCCCATATTTATGAAAATATTATTCCAAAGCATTGAAGATCTTCTCATTCTCCCCTTACTCTTCATGTGAAATATGTTTCCCCTTTCAGTAGCTTGACAGTATTTTGGGATTCATTTACCCTTATAAAGTAGCTTGAGAGCATTAGTGGTTGGTACCATGTCTATGTGCTTTAATAATTGTTGCCTATTATGTAGAATGAGTATCACAAACTTCAGCTTATGACTGATTTCATATATGCTTGATATGTTATTGTGTTGTGAACTTGATCTGGCCTCAGTACATTTTCATCTATGTGATGATTGTCATCCAAAGCATCACTTCTTCATTACTGTCATGCATAAATCATTATGGCTTTTGTACAGTGTTATTTTTTAATCTATGTACTTTTTCTCATCCTAGCATTTTTGAAATTGTTGCTGGCTTCATTTAAATGGGATATTGTTTCAAGAACAACAAGCTTTTGCATGTCTTTGGTCACTTATACCATGATATCATAGGTCTTAGGTGTTGTTTTGTGTAATTGCTGCATTTTGGTTATTTTCTCTTTGATCTTGATTGGACATGCTGTACGAGAAATCTGTTCAACTTTTAGATGATTGGACTGATGAACCAATGATCCCTTGTTATGGAAATCATCCCAATATTCTTTTGCACATGGGGCCAGTAAAACGCCTTAGACTGGAGAAGCCTTACTTCTTATAGAGTCTCTTACGCCCATAAGTTTCTTGGAAAACTCAATGTAATCTTTCTGGATGTTTGGTGCATCTAATGAATAAGGAGTATTACTTCATTTTTTTGTATCTCTTTTAGATGAGATGCTCATATTAATATCATTGAGTCTTAAGAGCGGTCTTGAAGGGTTCTCTATAATGATAGGGATTCTGAGCTGAGATTTTTGGAAAAAAATCAGTGATAATTCAACCATTTTCTCATTACATTTTTCTGGAGTAGTTGATGACATATAGGCAAGAATTATATAAGGAATTTTCTGTTGATGTACAATATTTATATATTGCTTGCTTTGACAGTTGACCTGTTATATTTTTGGCTTTAGGACATGCTGAAGAACATACTGATGATTTTTTCATCCTCAATTCTTTTGGGTTTTCTTTTGTGAATTGCGGTATCTCTCATTGTGCTTGAAACTTTCATTTCTCTATAATGTGCACGGACAAAAATCAGTTCAACAGGATCAAACGATTTTGTTTACTGTGTAATATTAACAATGCCAATGCTTGAGTCTATAGTTTGGGGAAATTAAGCTTATGGATCTTGGAATGTAAAATTTATTTATTGATGAGTATAATCACATCAAGATATACTTGTGTGAGGTAAACTCTTTGTGTGTGTGTGTGTGTGGAGATTCATTTGGGTGAGTAATGGGGGTGAGGATGGGTTTGAGAATTATCTCAATCTATATGGGAAAAATGATAAATTAGTAATCATCTGAATCAGAAAACATCTTTGAGCCTGATGAAATGATGGCAACGTTTATTGGATAAAAGCTCACCTTTTTGATGTGGAAGCTAAGATACGGAAGTTTTTATGGTTAAGGTCACTAATCAGAGTGTACGAGTCTAACCTGATTTTATGTAAGATTGTATCAATGATGTACTTTTTAATCTCGTGCATAGTGTCGTGGGGGTAACCTTCATATGGTGTATGCTTGAAGATTTTATTGAATGAAATTCTGATAATTTATGTGTCCATTTTATGGCCTCTGGTTGTTGAGGCCTCTAGTAGGAGGAAGAAAGGGAATAAAACAAAAAGGAATAATGAGATAGTACCTGGTGAGGGGTCCTGGATAACTAACTATCAAATGATTTGAATTGTGTAGGTGAGCTGGAGGAGAGAGTTGTTGGCACGAGATGGGTGCATGTATTGTTAACCGATTGGTATAGGTCTATAGGAAGGAAAATATAAGTGGAATTTAGGAGGGACTCTACCTCTTGAGATCTAGAGGCCTGCCCCTTTTCTTGCATTTTGTGCCTTTAGTTTTCAAATTTCATCTAGCTTTGAAGCTAGTTTTAACCAAGGAATTATTATAACATTTCATACAATACATTTCACTTTGGTTACATATTTCTTTCTGTGGACATTATTTCATGCTTATTTCTCTCTTTAGTTTCTCTATCATCATTCAGTGGTTTTCTAGTTCTTTTTCCTCAATGGTTTTCAATTTCAACATGAGTAGTTGATCATATATCTGAGCTGTAAATCCTTGTACAGGATATCTGACTTAATTTTATACTATCTGTGATGCGTGTTGTCTGTAGAATTCGAAACTTGTGTGAGCATTTCATTTCCTTTTCCTTGTTTATCCCTGTCAGCTGGCATATCTTTTTGATTGTTGTTGATGTTATTCTTTTTTGGAAACTTTTTTATCATTAAATACTTTTTAAAGGTTAAGGTGTTATAAGAGGAATCAGTGATGCAAGAAATAGATGCAAATTCTTTAGGTTTAATTATCTGGGGAGTATGGAATGCTTTGTGAGTTGTTTATCTGCTATTTTATTTGTCAAGAATCTGATGTTGGTGTTTAATTATCCAGGGGGCACCTCCTTGCACTCATTATGCACAGCGTGGGGTGTGTAAGTTTGGGTCAGCCTGCAAATTTGATCATCCTATTGGAGCATTGAGTTATAGTCCATCTGCTTCCTCCCTTGCTGATATGCCGGTTGCACCCTATCCTGTGGGTTCATCAATTGGCACTCTTGCCCCATCATCTTCATCAGAATTGCGGCCTGAACTCATCTCAGGATCCGGCAATGAGTCTGCATCATCCAGAATATCTTCATCAATGAGCACATCAACGGCATCAGTTGGCTTGACCTTGTCATCTGGTGGATCCATTTCTCAATCAACTGTTCAACAATCTGCTCAGAGTTCCAGCCCTTCAGCAATTACCAATAGCATTGCAAGCAGCTCGATCTCTCACACCTCTAGTTAAGCAATGTGAATGGATACCTCATTATAACTCCTTTTTATCTCAATTCTTCAACTGGACATCATTATTTAAAGAGGTCCTGAATAGGTTTTCTTTTTGAGTTATTCCAGTTCCTCATTCAGTTCTAGGCACACGTCAGCGTCAATTGTCTTTGTCTCATATAATCTTTTCATGGCCATCTCTTTGATCTTTTGAATAAAACCATGGCCAACCTGGAGATTTTAGCAAACCCCATACAGCCACCTTTCTTCTGAATAACTTCTAAAAGAATCTGCAAGCCCATTATGCATGTGCATCCAAATCTCCAATTTTTTTTGGAGATCGTTGTACTTATTTATGCTCAGGTCTTTTTTAATATTAGGAAGATTCTGGCACACAGTTTCATTGATCATGTGTTTGACTCTTCACCGAAACCCTTCTCTCCTCCAAACACCAATCCTTTTATAATCTGGGAACAATTTTCCAACTGTATTCGGAAGCTCCTATTCACTACTGTTCCCAGCCTTTTGACTAGGGTTACTGTGAAGAGAAGTAATCAGGAGGCTACAATGAGGCTTCACATTGCTTATCTTATATGGTTTTTTAGATACACAATGTTGTGACAAGTGAAATGCATGACTTGGTACTTAAATTTATTACAAAATACATATATGAAGCAACATTTGAATCAAAACGTTTGAATGTGTAATAATTTTTTTTGCCTCCCCTTTCTCTGAGTTTACTCGATCTATCTTTAATGTGAGAGATCAGGTAATTTTCTGGTGGGAAATTTCTCTTCTGTTTTGCCCCTCATGACTGAAATATTTGGATATGTTTGCTGTAAGATGATCATATATTACACTAGACACCACACTGTACCCCAGTTAAAAACAAGGGTACAGCATAATGCGATGCAGCATGCAAATCAAGTGCATGTCTTCTGGGGAAAAGTAGCTTTTTTGAGTGTTCCTCACAATTGGGAGGATAACCACTTCTGTAGCTGTGTGGTGTTTGGATTTTAACTCGAGTCTGGTGTCTACAATGAATATTGGTGTATAGCCTGAAGCAATCTGCACAGCTTGTGCCTGACTGGTTCTTGTAGCGTTGGTGACTCATTAGTGAGATCAAACTGTGTGTAGATGTCATGTGTTGTTCTTTGGTAGGTGCAAGAGATGTATAAATCAAGTGGAACCAGCGCATTATCCGAGTCCTAATCTGCAATTGCTTCAATCTTTATAATTAAGATTTGCTCTAGTTAATATGCCAAACAAGGACAGATCCAGGATGATAAGAGTGGGGAATGGCTAAACAAAGACAAAATGATATTAAAGAGTAACTCGGCAAAAATGTGCTGATTTCTTTTCATGGTGCTAGCTAAAAAGCTTAGATTTCTTCAATAATTTCCCTTACAATTGGTACATTATACATGATGAAGATTGTTTACCAGTTTTCTGATCTCCATGAGACTGACAACCTTCAACTTGTCCTGCTGGTAACAAGTTTTGGTGGCTTAAAAAGGGAACATGAGGATTACAAAGCATGCTAATCTTCGTTGGCCTTCCCAAAATGGAATTATGAATGCTAGCCTTTTGACCTAATAAGGACACATGAATTTATGCATTGCATTACATTTAAGAAATAATTCATAATGTTAACAATTTATGAATAATGCAACTCATTGACAGCCAACCTGGTCTGGTCAGTCTTAATTCACCCTGTTTTGGTTTGTTTGGATTAACTCAATTTTGAACAATAAAATATACTTTCAAATTTATTTTTTTATCATTCTTGAATTTACTTTTTTTGTAAATCAATTTGTCTATTTCTTTTATTGATTTCATTTTAGCCCTCTTAGTTGTCTTTTATCAATTTGTGTGCCCATTTTTGTCCTAAACTTGTTACAAATCTTTGGTGTTAAGGTATTAGAAAAACTATAAAATAATTGCCAAGCATTTAATCAAATATGAAATGAGTTATAGATTTATAGTTCTGATCAAATAGTAAACTAGTTTGTCTTCATTCTCTCCATCAGAATTGCAGAGGTTAAAAGAATTGTTAAAAAAGAAAAAAGAAAAAACCCAACTTCTTAAGCAATCAAACTCTTGTTGAAATTTCTTAAGATGTGTGAGTACACATGAATCAAACAGAAAATTAAAATTATAAGAAAAGTTTCACTTATAAAATTTAGTATTTTTTTAATGCAGTTTATAAAAAAGTCAGCATAACTGTTAAGGATATAACTCTACCTCACAAGAACTTGAGTTGAAATTCAACTGTTGATATAAGAATCACGTTACTAGACATTTTAATAGTATCTAGGAGAAATTACAAATAGGTCCCAAAATAATAACTATTTTTTCAATTTCATTTACAAATCAAACTTTTTTTATATTGTTATTTAATTGGATTAAATTCAAGTACTGTGAGGGTTTAGTTAAAAGTAATTTTTTTAGAGACATTTTATATATTTACACAAAGACCAACTTGAGATCTTGTGTTTAGTTTAGCTATTATAATTTTTTTTATTTTGACCAAAACTTATTTGATTACAAGTCAAACTTTTGTATTTGCATCTTGAATTCTTGTATTTACAAGTAGTTAGGACTTATGAGTAATTAATTTTTTTATTTGAAACCTATAAATAATTCATCATTTTTAATGTAAATTTTTCATCATCAATCACCAATATTTATTCACTTATTTGTTCGTAACTCAATGTAACTGATTTCAAACTCTAGCTAGAAGTGGGTCCCACAATCCAATGTTCTTGAAGAAAGAAAAAAGGGGGGAAAAGACAATGAGCCAATGAGTGAATAGAGAAATAATGGTCAATAAGAATGGAAAGAAAGCACAGAGAGCCTAAGAAAGCAAGCAATCGATTAGAATTGGATGGACAACATATCTTTCTGCGAAGCTATGCTTCTTGTACCCAAAAAGTTAGAGCAGCTACCCCTAAAAGATGGATCAAACCATTACATCAATCTGTTTTGTATTTTATTTTATTTATAATATTAGAAATCACTTTCCCTTGATCACTTTTGTAAGTGAAATAATCGCTTCTTCTTTTGCGGTAGCAAAAATTATTTAATTCTCCTGTTACTTCCACTGCATCTCTATTTAAAGTTGGCGGAGCTAAAGTTTTTAGGGAGGATGATAATTAGATTTTAAAATATGGAATTAATAATAATTAAATTCTTGTAAATTTTTTAAAAATTTATTATAAATATTAATTTAGACAATTACAAATAGAAATCTCAACTACAATCGAAGGATTACATTCAAAATTTCTGGATTAATATTTTTAACTCACGTTTTTAGATTATGTTGTTGAAAATCTAACTGTGGTAATCTTTTCAAATCGTCATTGTCCCACATTCTTACCATGTAACTTACCCTCACACACACACACACACACTCTCTCTCTCTCTGTCTCTCTCTCCCCCTCCCTCTCACGCGCGCCCACAATTAGAAAGGACAACATAGACTCAGTCAAACTAAGAGGAATAGGCAGGAAAAAGGAGTATGATTTTCCACCCTTAGAATCTGAGTAAAGAGCAAAAGTAATCACCCCAAAAGAGCAATAAAGTAATTATATAATTAGAAGAAGAAAAGGCTTGCAGATACACCCAAGTTACAAGGGCCAAAAAAAAAAAAAAACGTACAAGTGCATGCAAATGTAATGCAAGATAGCAAAAAGCACGATGACAAAAGGCAATTCACACAATATACTACACTACACCATGAAAACTGATAATCCAACTTAGGACATTGAGTATCCCATATCAACATCTCCAAAGTTATATGAAGAAGCTGAAGCTGAAGCAAATTCCTCAGTCATTAGATCATAGCTTGAACTGATCCGAGGATTCACAATGAAGCGCTCATCTTCTTCAACCCTCGTTGGGTTGTTCTTGAATATAGCAGAAAGCTCACTGCAATCAGAATCCCACGACAGTCCCTGAGAGATTTCATCTGGGTATGAATAAAAATCTGAACTTTCGCATGCCGCTGTTGGAATCTTGAGGCCTTGTTGTTGATGAGATTGAGATTGGAACTTCGGGTGGTCACTTGAAGCAAAACTCTCATCATTGTTCCTTCTGAGACAGTTATCAGGAACCACACATTCCAAATATCCAGAGTTGGAATCACCAGAAAACGAGAACAAGTTCTCAGTTTCAGCTGAAGAAACAGGCATATCATTGTTCATCTGGGCAGTGGGAAAATTAGGCTGAATCTGATGAAGTTGAGTGGAATTATTAGAAGTATTCTGATGAGACAGATCAGATACTGAACTAGCACTGGTCTGATAGGTTGGTGAAAGGGATTGAACATGCAAAGGAGAAAGAAGTGTGTGAAAAGAGGTGGTAGTGTCAGAGTATATAAAATTTGTTCTAGCTTGGCTTCCTTTCATGGACAGAGCAGCTCTGTCATAAGCCAGAGCAGCTTCTTGAGCAGTGTCAAAAGTTCCAAGCCAATGTCTTTCTTTTGTTGTGGGGTCCCTAATTTCTGCAGCATATCTTCCCCAAGGTCTTCTTCTGACTCCAAGAAACCTTCCTGGTTCTGATTGTTTCCTTCTTCCTCTTTTCTCACCACCACAAGGAGATGTGTTTCTCTGAAGAAGAGACAGAACCATCTGGGTCTGGTTTGCTTCATAGCCTTTGAAGGACGGTGATGATGACGATGATGAAGAAGAAGAATCTAGGGTTCTAGAGGTGGACATGGCTTCAAAAATGGAAAAGCAAAAGTGGGTTTAAGGAAGACACAGGAGTGAGAGAGTATAGAACACACAAAGAGGCTTCAAGAAGGTTCAGTGAAGTGAAGAAGATGGTTAAGAATGAGAGAGCTTGCGGAGTCTTTTAAAGACTCAGACTTTGAAGAGCCTTGACCAAAAGTAACTTGGTTCTCAAGGAGAGATATAATATATATTATATTATATATATATATATAATGTTTTGTTAATTAATTTTCAAACATGCGAGTAAAGATTTTATCTTGATATATAGTTTTTGAAATTCGGATCATCCTCTTATTAGTTGAACTAGTGTCTTGATAAATTTAATAAAATAATTTATTTATAATCAATTTAGTAACAGTTGGACTGTAATTTTGATCATTAAACTTGGACAAGTACCTTAACTCATCTGATTTTTCAGGCAATTTTTTCAGACAAAGCAGAAGTTGGGTGGGCTGGTAAAACGATTGGACTATTGAGTCAAGCTTTAAAAATGTTTCTTTTTCTTATTTCTATTAAATGCCCAGTTCTTCATCCTAGTTACTTGAAGAGTTACAACCAAATAGTGAAAATAAAGATTCCTTTCACTAGTCAAGTACTTTAAATAGGGCTTTCTAACTGCACTTTGGTGTTTTTATTTCTTTGCTTCTGTCACTTTCTTCCTAGTTCCAATGACAATAGTCAAAATGCAATTTCTAGATCCAAATAATAACTAAAAAGTGTAAATACTAAACAATTTTTTTTTTTATGCGCTGGGACAGAAGAATAGAAAGAAACATTCTTTCACATTCTTTTTTTTTTTTCAATGGATCTTGTATAATAGGTTGTTAGGAGTAAAAAATAAATAAATTAATTCTTAAATTATAAGTCCATGATTCTTGAGTTCTAAACTCATTTTTTATACAATTTTTTTCTTTAATTTTTAAAATGATGCAATCTGACTTGTGTTGTTAAGAAAAGTTAATTTTAACTATTAATTGATTAAAAAAAGAATCCAAAAATTACAAAAAAGGGGGATTAATAAAATTTTCTTGGCTCTTTTCAGTGGTTAATTTTTGTTAATGACAAATGTCAGATTGTATTATTTTCAAAAATTAAAAAATATTATTAAAAAAATGAGTTTAAGGTTTCAAATGTTTTTTAATTTATAATTTAAAACTTATAGTTTAAAAGTAAATTTTTTAAATTACTCAAATTTTTATGGGGGAAATTATCTGGTATCCAATATTACTAAGTTTAATTAGCCCAATATAAATGGGATGACCGTCATCAAACTAATTGATCCGATACGCAAAGTGAAACAACACGGTTTTAAAATTGCTCTCCAATTTGTACTTGAAAAACTTGTAAGTTAGGAAAAGATTGAGTGAATTATATGAAACTTGGTGAGCTAATTATTACATCAGGGGATTTGTTAATAAATTGAGAGAAATGAATCTTGATTGACATTTTTATTTTATATTATAATTCAAGAGGAATAGTTTTTAGTAGTGATTCAATATTCACCGTTTATTTTTCCTGAGTCCCATGTCAACCTCTTTCTTTTATAAAATCTTTGTAATATTTTTTTATTTAATATATAATAATTAAAAAAATTAGTATAAAGAAATAAAAAAGGTACTACAGTAACCATCCACAGTGGTGGAGCCATGTTGGGTTGAAGGCAGAAAAATTATAAGTGGGGCATATAAAATTCACAGCTTTGCATCCCCTGCTCTTGATATTGTGCACCCTTTGAATTAAATGAAAAATATTTAGGCTCAAAAACTTATTAAATGTATAATATTTTAATAATTTAGATAAAATATGAAGAACATATTTATAATGAAAGGTCATATTATTATGTTTAATATAATTTTTTAAAATAAAAAAATGATAATAAAACTATTTATGTTATTATAATTTTAGTCCTAATATAATTATTTTTTTTAAAAAAATAATTTTTTATTAAATTATTTCGCACCCTAAGTTAAGAGTTCTGGTTCCGTCACTGACTATCCAACTTTAGTTACAGTAGAGGGTAGCTGAATCTTGAGTAACATCTTTGGCCAAAGCAATCTTGACTCATAGTAGTTCACGTGTGAAGAGGCAAGGTTAAGCAATAAACTGCCCAGAAATTGACTTGGTAAACTTTATTGGACTACACTTGCCGCTGTCGAAATAACGAAAAAGACAGACACTCTCATGAAAAACCTCACCCATAAATTATCATTTTTCATCATCAGCACCAACTATCTGTATTCCTTAATTCTTATTTAAAGGATATCGAGTTCTAGAGTACTAAAAAAGAATGGGTCAGATTCAACACTCACAAATGAGTATCAATGTACAAATGACAGCTTGTGGAGGTATCATGTGAGACAGCCAAGGAAATTGTATTAAGAATTTTTTTTTAATTTTTTTATTCAATCGCCTGATATTATAGGAAATTTGAGGATATTATTACCTCTTTTGTAAATTAATTTGAAGCCCACTTGTGTGGGATCATTATTATTAATGATGGCTTTATAAGTACTTAGATATACCTTTGGTATATTTACTTGACATGATTGCATATTCCAAAACTTGAACTCAAAATTTTAGGATAGGTTGATTCATTTCCTTTGATTAATTGAATCAACTGATGCCTTTCAATGATTAAGAGGTTTTCTAAATACCTTGACTACTACCTAAGTAATGTAGTAGAACTCCTAAGTATTTGAAAAGGTTTTAACTTTTGTTGGGATTATAAGCTTTTTAAAGTTAACATCTGCTCAGATTCTTTTAAAACTCTATCTTTCATCTAATGCAATTTCTCTCAAAAGTATCTTTACTTTAAATCCATTAAGAAAATTAAAGATTTTACTATAAGAGATCAGACAATCACTTTCAATCACAAATTTAGAAAAACAAATTAATGTATCAATTTGTTTGCTCATTAGGTATTCAGCGAAAATTTAAACATAACAATCTTCAATGAGCAACCTCTTAGGTGTAGAAACATTATTTACTTTGATATGATCACTTGATCAATTCTTTTTTCTAACATAATTTTTTCGCGACCTTGTATTAAAAATAATATTGAATTTGTTTTGCTTTGACTCAACTATCAATCGGGTTTTTGAATTAACTTTCTAGATGAAGAAGCACATGAATGATTGAATGATTGGTACTAACTACTAAGGAACCAGAAATGGAAAACAACTGCAAGGTTTTGTCTGCATATAGATAGAGAGAAGTCAGAAACATTTGAATTTGAAGGTATTAATGAATGAATTATGAATGTGACGAGAATTAATGTCAGTCTCCGGCTGTTTTGTTGTATACAACATGTGAATCCGTCTTTTGTGCAAAACGAAATCAATCAATAAGATCTCAAGCTCTTGTTTGCTTTGTGATTTTCAAACGGAGCAGTTAAAATTATGTGTAAATTACAAACTAGCTAAAAACAATAATTGTACGCACTAGAATATTAAGACATGGTGTGAGAATCCACTTGTCTTATGTCATCACAAACAACCCCACAAAGAATAAAATACTTGCCATTGGAACAACCTTTTGGTCAAATTCTAAATCTACTTGTCTGTCCCATTTTGCACTTTTCAGATCAATTGTGGCATTTGTTTAAATCAATTTTTATTCACAATTCATTATCTCTGTTGACCATGATGATATCATCACTTTTCATTTCTTTTATTTTTTTTTCTAAAAATATTTTACTTGTACTTAAGCGAAGATAGGAAAGGCTTGTGACTCATGTATTTAACATTATATAATTTTTTCTGTAATCCTTCTTTCCACGATGGAGTTATATGTCAGGTTTTAGCATCCGAATGAAGAAGATAAAAACAAAGAATCTGACTTTGTGCATAATCCTAATACAATGGATTCTGATTGTCTGCATGCCATTACCATTGTATGAATATTATATCCATGATGACACTGATTGGAAATATTCATGTCATTATGAGCTAAATCAAATCAGGATTAAATTGTGTTAATATCTTGATCCATATTGTAGCTAATGAGACAGTTATCCTCACATTAATGGCAATGATTCCAATCAGTTTATTTCCTCCATGATGAGGGAATAATGTCTGATAAGTTCTTCCTTTTTTGGTGACAGGGGTCCTTAAGTTTATAAATAGAGACTTAAGTTGGAAGCTAAAATGAGCCATTCTCATTTTTGGAATCTCTCTCTCTTTTGGTGCATCCGTTGTGCACTTCAATTTAAGCTTTGGTAGTTTATTGTCGTGTGGGTGTTTGGGAAGACTTTATGATGTTTGGATTTGGTAAGACTTTGACTCGACTTCTTTTTTCTTTTGGATTCATTTATCTATATCATTGAATCTAACAACCATAAAGAATAGGAGTCACAACTTAGTTCTATTCCATCTCTTACTCCTTTAGTCCTATGTATAAGGCAGAGAGGGGGTATTTATTATAAAGCACATTAATAATTATTCTGTCTATTTTTATCCTTTTATTTTTATTAAATGTTGAGAATGTTATTAAATGTTAAAGTTAATAAGATTTAAAATTTTCTTTAATTAAAGTGAAAATATTAAAGTGACTTATAACTAGGATAAAAGTGGGTATGCTTTAAAGCCATACTTTGGTGAATCAAAAGCTTTTGTAACGGCTATAATATCAACTTCCTCTCTACTTATTTGCTTCAAGTAAAAGCTCATTACATAGAACCTAATGTCCATGAACTCATCCAACAACAATGTTTCTGCAGACATAACATCTTTTTTTTTTTTTGGTCAAGGCAGACGTAACTTCTTTACTTGCTAATTTTCAACATCTCAGTGTCCAAGTTGTAACTAATGAATATTTCTTTTCTATTTTTAGTTTCTCACCATGGCTTACATACTTTAACCTTGTGCTTTAATCTTTTTCTTGTAATATAATCCTTTGCTGTAATATAATCTTAAAAAAAAAATAACTAACAAGAAAAGCCTAATAACATTACAATCAAATAAAGACTTTGTAGATTGATCTTCACA